CATGTGCAATGCACGTCACTGATATTACGATACCTATTATCTGCTTTTTTGTTATTTCTATTCTCCACAACGACGCAAATTATTTCCAGTTATGTATTATGAGATTATTTTCCGTGGAACCAGGACCCCATTTCATCAAAATAAAAAATGATTCAATGCCAATCTAGCAGATTATAAATTAATAAAGTTGTTAAATCTTGTAATAAGTTAGTTTTTTTAGATCGGTAGGTCGTCAAACAATCCGGACTCTGCTGATGTGACCCTGCATGTCAAAACGGGTCCAAAGTTTGCTTGCCTTGAAACAATGCTGCTGATATTTTGCACTCCCACAAGGCCGTGCGGCTAATGGGTCGTGTAAGATTCACAAGACCGTGCGGCTGATGGGTCGTGTAAGATTCACTTTTTTTCATGTTGAGAGACGGATATGTAAAGGAGATGTATTTTCTGACTATTTTTTTTAAACAATGATATTAGGCCTTTGTACTCCAGAGCAGTTGGAGTTACATAACACATTATCATGCAAATTATTAAATGAAAGGAAACACCGCGTCATTTGAGCCTATGATTAATAATTAAAGTCGTGTTCTTGCAATGTTGTTATGCGTTGGGGATGTTTTTAGACTTGGTAACCTGAAATGCCTGGATGATATGTATGACAAACAACAAGGCAAGGCTGCAGCTCAAAGGCCATGACTTAAGCCACTGGAGTGGTTGCCAATAAGAAACCGCCATTGAAGCAGTCGCCGGTAGGGTGACCAAAAAGCGCACGCATAGTAGAGCTGGGCGATTAATCGATTTAAAATCGAAATCGCAATTTGAAACGATGAGATTAGCAAATCGCAAAGGCTGCGATTTTTTAACTTAACAATTGTTCTATATTTGGTTGTTCTATTTCAATTAAAACATTGTAATAAATACACGTTGGAAGCAATTCATATCTTTAAAGTTCTCATCCTTGCATTAGAATATATAGAGCAGTTCATATTTTGATGGTATCATGTGATAATGCTCCATCACGTTTTAAATCTATTACACTGAATATTGAACTGAAGCTTAACTTAAACATTTAAACGCAAATCAAATAAAATCGCAATTGCAATATCTGTAAAAATATATTTTCCCCAAATCGTTCAGCCCTAACGCATAGATCTGTAATAAAAGACTCCGTCAGGCGATGCTGGTCTCCGTTTGTCTTTTATTCAAGTTCTTCTCTGCACCCCCCACTGGCCTCCTCTCGGACCAGTGTCGTCTCGCGCGCTCCGCGCACGCTCCCTCTCGCGTGCCACGCACGCTCTCTCTCTCGCGTGCCACGCACGCTCCCTCTCGCGTGCCACGCACGCTCTCTCTCTCTCTCGCGTGCCACGCACGCTCTCTCTCGCGTGCCCCGCACGCTCCTCCGTTAGCTCCTCTATTCCCGCACTCCGCACACCGCTGGCCGACGGCATGCAGAGGTCCTTCGGCCACGTGGCCGATGGCGCGGATCTTTCCTCACCACCCAACGTGGCTCAGCTTCTTAACTTCCCCGACTGCCCCGATCTCTTCCGGGCTCCCACTTATATACATTCCCCCCACGTGACCCCGACTCCTCTCCTTCCGGATCGTCAGATCCGGCCTTCCCATACTACCCCGCTGGCTCCGCCCCCATTCACCTCGCTTCCCATTGGAGCCGAGGTGAACGGTGGCCCCTCCCACACGCCCCGCAGACCAGGCTCTGCCCCCCAATACCCCGGGCCCTGTGATTGGACCAGAGCCCAGCAACAACCCCATTTACGCTCGCATTACAGATCTAAAGCATGCCACGTGATCACGTGTTACTACCACATGGCTTATACAATGCTCCCCGCAGCCTTGTATAGACCACCAGCTCTAAAGAGCTACAATTGTGGTCGTAATTATAATGTTTAGACCAACAAAGAGAGTTGTGGCCACACTTTCAGCTCCTTTGAGCTCGTGGTATAGATGAGGCTGCGGAGAGCATTGTACATTGCATGCACGCAAGGCATTATGGGAGTCGTGCGTTCCTACTGTTTTTGAGTGGCACAGCTCTGCCTGTTGTTGATATTTTTTCCCGGTCTGCGCGGATTTTCCTCCTGTGTTGGGTTTTATCATCTTTTACAGAAAGCGTTGGATTTGGACCAATCCAATCATCTGAAGAAGTTACGCTGCTTACAAAGCCAAGAGACAAACGTCGAGAGGGCGCATTGGGCGTTGTTCACGGTACGGACTCGGGTGCTACGAGATCAACGTAGATGGAGTCTGGAAGAGTGGAGGGTATCTTTGACAAAGAAAAGATACAAACATCATCGCGAGGCCTCACACCCAAAACCACAAATATCATAGCAATGCTACTCGATTTGTGCTCAACGTAGCTATTGCAGTATTTCAGTTCATCGTTGACCTTCTAAAATTACAGCAGCTCAAACGTATTTACGAGCATTGTGAACGCAGATTTACACTGAGTGCAGGTTTGGCGACAAAATTGCTGGGGAAACTACCTGGAGACAATGCAGAGCACGGAATGCAGACGATTATTAAATGAGCTGCACACTCCAGTGCAGTCTCCTGTGCTCGTCGAAGGTGGCAATGACACAAGGGGGGGGGGGGCTCTTGTCAATGAGAGTTACAAAGCTCAAGCAGTCGAAGGTGGCAATGACACAAGGGGGGGGGGGGCTCTTGTCGATGAGAGTTACAAAGCTCAAGCAATCTCCTGTGCGAGTGAAGGTGGCAGTGACACACGGGGGCACTCGGGGGATGACACCTCGTAAAAAGTGTAAGTGCCACTGGGATCTGTACCCATAGAGATGTACAGAATTGTGTGTGCAATAGGAAACTACAGAGTGACGAGGCAATCTACTTGCTGGACTGCTCCTCGTTACAGACACTGTCTCGTAGCCCTGCATGCCCCACCTGTCGCTTAAGGTCGAGCACCACCACGCCCAAGCGAAGTCGCACACGCACATATTTGCTCACGCCCCTGTGCAGCAAACAAAGATCTCCCGTATAGCCTTAATAGACTTTTGGGGCAAGTGCTGTTAGCGATGAACTTTGAGGGCCAGCACCACGCCCAGCTGCCTTTGTCTCCCAAGTGGTGATGTTTACTTACCGTACCAGGTACCCATTTCAGGCTGAGTCAGATAATCGTCACTGGTTTTGGCCGTGAGCGGTAATCGAACTCGATTCGCCGGGATCATAGCGCAATGGCCTAACCGCTCCCCGCAGCAAACACACACATAATCATATTTACGGTCTTGACCATACATCCACACATACAAACATCCCGAGTGTAGTTTTACATCATCTGGTGACAGTTGCTGTTTGATGATGATAGACATGGCGCACAACAAGGTGTTGTGTGGCCAGAACCACACCTAGCTATCTCCCCCCACCCCACCCCCCAGTTCGGATATGCACACATCACATCAGGCACTACTGAGTCTGCTAGGGGAGACCCAGGACAAGTTATAATGCCACTTGCCACTGATGTTAACTGTGGGTGACAATCGAAGTCAGATTGATAACCACTGTGCCATCGCTCGCCATAATCGATACTCTGTCACAAAGAGGCCACTTTGAGGCAACAGCTGAGATAGGTCATGGAAGGCAGCAGACTTATCACCTTTGCCTGTATTCCTCAGACGTTCATCCTCAGTGGGGACATAAGCAACCACTCTACGCACTTTATTTCTACTTGGCTGAATATACATGCTCCGCCTGTAAACATGTCAACACCAACATAAATGATACGTGCAGAGTTATGGCATGGTGCCTGAGAGCCACCCCTGTTTCCTGCCTATATGCACAATCTGGCATAGCGCCCCCTAACATCAGGAGGAGAGTAGCAGATGACCACGACCGGCAAGTCCTTGAGTGGGACGTCCGTCATCTGCTACGTGACCATCAGCCAGCACCACCGCCGTCGCCTCTCATCGAGACACAGCTCATTGTGCTCCACTGCACTCCTTTACCGCATCACCGGAATCTGCCAGAGCTTCCGTCTGGCAAATAGAATTGGAAAAGTTCAGCGACAAAGCTGCTGAATGGAGGACCCGTAGAGGAAGCACCTCCCAGTGAGGAGCTCACATCTGGCTCCCAGTTCCAAATGGCTCACATGGCGGAGCCTAAAGAGACTGAGAGTGGGTTTCGGTAGACGCAACTCTCTCATGACATCATGGGGGGGTTCTACACAACTGATAAATGTGATTGTCAGAAGAAGCAAGCCGCATGGATCATCATTGGAACCTCATTGCCAGTAAAAATATAATTGTTTTTTTACCCTTCTATTTGGCAACAAAACTGACACCTTTTTTACAAGGAGTCATGTTTGCATAGACCACAATACCTACAGTCATAATGCAAACAAAATACATAACTCTGATAATGTATGCACTGTCCTTGAAGTTGATTGGTCCACACCCGAGACAGCTTTCCTTCGAGCCTCGTATCACATGGGTTGGACGAGATGACGCCAAAAGGCGCACAACTCGAAGACAATGCACCATCAGAGTATGAGAGCTCGGGGCATGGATCATCTCCTGAGATGCCCTGCAGCACCGCAATGTACTCCTCAAGATTGGACAATGCCAACACCAGAAGCCGTGGCCTGTGCAGAATATTGGGAAAAGACGATGTAGGTTGGACAGCCCACATCAGCATGGCACTCACGTCCACCTGAACCTCATGGCCGCACTTGCAGGAGCCCTTTGATCTTTTATTAAAAAATAGACCTACTCCTTGTCGTTTGATGCCATCATGCCAGAGGGACTAACATACCAGGCACAGTACTCATTTGTAGGGGAAGTTCAGGACTGGTTAAGAAAATCGTGACTGGCGTTGGCCGTGAGCGAAAATCGAGTTACGCAACTGCTCAATTACACACACGTACAGCAATGGTATTTTCCATTACACACACGCACACACTACAACGTGTGCACCTGCACACCTACACACGCCCGAACACACCCTACCCCACCAAACCCCCACCACACCCCACGAACGCGCGATGTGGACACACCCCATATTCTGCTATAAATGCCGGGTTGATGCCCACAGAAAGGCACAGCACGAGGTCAACTCTTCATAATTCCTTCCGACTCGTCAGCATTACTTCCGTCGCTTCAACATGAGCTGCCCATCGAAGAAGGTGAGAGATCGACAACCCTGTGCACCGCACACAGGACAGACACCGCCGCACATGGTGCCACCCTTCCCCTTGGGTGCCACTGCTGAGGTTATGTACCGCCACGGGGCATGTAAATGCATGTTCAATGCTACATATCAGAGTGGCATAAACACTGCTACAAATAGCGCACGTTAAATGGGCGTCAAGGCGGTCAAGGGGGATGACAGAACAGTAGATTTTCAAATCCATTTGGAGATCGTTGCAATGAGACATTTCATCTCAAGGGGTGTTCCATGTAAAATATAAACATCATATGACCTGTTTAACCCCCAACTTCCCCCCTTTGTAAATACAATTGTTGAAGGAGCCTCCTCGAGAGATTTCCTGTCAATTGTGACCGACTGATGCAAATTCTAGTGATGTCTTAAAAGGGGCTAGAAATCTCAAATGTTCTACAACATTTACATATTTGATTCGGTCGCCCAAATATAGATGGCCACTCAGGGCGACAGAGACCCATGCCATCCCATTACGATGTCACTCTCCGTGTGAAATGTAGAGCAATGGACCGAACCCAACTGCACCGTTAAAATTCCATGTTCCCGTGGCACAGGGTGGGCCTAAATCATTGAAAACCGATAGTATAACAGCTCACAATTTTAAAAAAATACTACAAAAATTGGGAGATTCAGTATTGCAGTGTTCTGCAATCTAAGCAAATAAACACTCAAGTACAAATGTAAAGATATATAAATTAGGGGAATCTGTTAACAGCCATGCAAAGATAAAAAATCGTACGACCACGGCCCTGTTCTGTGGTTATTTTACTACGTCACAGCGTTAATGACAAATGGTGTTGAGATTTTGTTGAATATTACAAATAGACCATTTTTTTATTTTTACGCTTATTTTATATATTAATCTTTCATGCTCATCTCATGTGCCATTTGACATCGGTATGGACTCGTTTCCAGCAATATGCGGCACGTTAAAGCGAATGAAATAATTAATTTGGACGAATGTGTCCATATCCTGGTCGGCGGTTAACTCGGCTCATCATCTCTCAGGGGCTGACGGACCAATGACGGTCATCATCCTACAAAAATTACCCCCCACCTCCCGCCGCTATACGACACTAGTTAAAGACGATGAGGGAAGAGCACAACCTCAATGATAATTAGAGCAGGAAATCGCCGTTCGCGACGTTGCCGCCACCGTGTGGCAGCGACGTCATTGCCCCAGGCACACACCCTTGAGTGTTTGCTGTGTACTGGACCTCCAAGCAAATAAAGCGCATGGTATTTCTACCACTGACTCGAGACCGGAGATGAACACCATCGAATGCTCGCGTGGCGGCAGAGACACATGCAATCACATTATGATCTCACCCTCCCCGTGAAATGTAGAGCAATGGACCGAATAGAACTCCGCCGTTAAAATGCCATGTTCCCGTGTGTGTCTCACTCACTTCTGCCAGCCTGAAGAACTGGAGGCCAAGTTCAAGGCTCTTGACAAGGTAAGCGACGGACCTTCGACTTCAACATTTGTACTGTATTGTCACCACCATCATCATCATCCTGTCACTGTGGTTGGTAATATAACCACAAACTTATAGTCTTGAGACTCGGTAAGAGTTTGCTGGGTAAAAAAAAAGATGATAATTTAATTGGCGTGCCAAACATTTATTTAAAGGCATTGCAAAGCACTCATTTAAGGGATATGACCACGCTGGTCAGTACGGGTCATACCAAAACTATGGACCATACAGTAAACAACTATGGTCTTCTTCGCTGGAGGAGGAATTGCAAAACTAAACGAACTCCTTCCTGAAGCCCTCACGTGACTAGCAGACCTCAATGTTGGCACTTAGATCCTGAACGTATTGCTGCCATAGGCAAGAATGGAAGAGCTACGGATCATTAAAACCGCGAATGTGCCCCTTGTCACCAGGATGGCAACAAAAGCTTGAGCAAGGCGGAGCTGAAGGCCGGACTCGCGTCCCTTGGACTCAGCGAGGCACAACTGGACAGCTTCTACCTGGCAGCAGACAAGGACAAGGATGGCAAGATCAGCTGCAGCGGTAAGAGAGACATCATCGTCGGCAGAACATCAATAAGCAGTCATAGCTCTCTACAGTATGATGCATAGATGAGCTATCCGGCTTGCCGATTCTTAACAGTGCTCTCTGAACAAAATATATATTTGAATGGATGTGCTGACTTAATAACTATCAGGGGCTCTGAACCCATTGAGGCGTCAGTGACTGGGTGCCCACGTGACCCCAGACACGTCGGCATGTAAAGCAATGCCGTGGAAGAGCAATGAAAATAGACGACACATTATGCGTCTTCACCGATTATACATAGCTCAAGGATACGTACATTGTGTAACCTAATTGACACGTGCTTGATTTGTTTTTGCGTGCAGAGTTCGTCAAATACTTCCAGCAAAAGAAGTAAAGAGTGACAGTGGAAGCTGAAAACCGACCACACAGCCCCGTGCACACTGCAACACTCGGACACACACCAACAGGCGCGCACACACACACGATGCACACTGTCACACCGCCAACACGCGCATACCACCAGCACGTGTTCAAAGCACACACCGACTCAGCACACACTTCCTTCACCACACGGACACAAATATCATATCCTAAACAATGACGGTGCTTAGCACGAATAATATCTGTCATATGTGTAGTGTAATGTAATTGACATCATAAATGCATATTACTATACTGTAGGAAAGGTATTTCAGGCATATATGTATAGTCCAAAAATACATACGCATATGCATTTGATAACAGAACACACACAAACGATACAAAACCACCTCGAAAGCTGTCTGGTTTTCTCTATTTCCTCTGGGGTTCCTGGTGAGGTGATATGAATTGAACTGGAAATAAAATGACAATCTACCAGTGCGCTGTTGGTGTGCGTGTGCATTGATTCTGTGGCGATAACACGCAACTTCATCATCTCCAGCCGCCATTCGTCACAAACATCAGCGACCAATCACGGCACTTGTGCCAAGCTCGGTGCACTGTGTACAAAGAGGCACTTGAGCTCTTTTCCTAGTGGTGAATGTTCGATGGCATAAGGTGATAAGGTCACGGGTCAAAGCTAGTTAGCAGATGCTCACTGATGGGACCCGTGCCCAGATCTTTCAAGGATCTGTGAGTTTGAGGTTATTTGTTGCACGGGTGATCCCGTTTGGCCAGTTGCCCGACTATTTTACACGGGGGGGGGGGGGGGGGGTCCGTGGTGCTTGAGCACAACAACAAAAACAAAATACAACATCAGTAACGCAAAGAACGAGTACATGGTATTCAAGGAATATTGCACAACGACGTATTTAACGGTCGTAGACGAATCACACGCGAAAAAAAAGATAGTGCAAACAAGGGGTGCCATCAGAAAGTTAGGTAAAGATGCAAGCTTGTAATTTTGATCAATAACGAAATAAAGTAGGATAGTGAATGGAACCACATTGTCGATGAGCGATAAGGGTTTTCCAGAAATGTTGAACAGCAACACGGAAATACTTTTTTTTTTATATAAAACAAGCTCTTGTGCTCTGCTCCACACAATAAAGTCACATTAATCCCAGGATGAATGCTAGGACAGGCCAACCTTATTGCGTCAAGCTGACACGGGGGGTCCTGTTAAAGGGGTTCACGTTTTCACAAAGAGGAGAGGCTTGATTGTTGCCAAAAAGGCAGCTTCCACATAGCCTTACGTAGCTGGTGAAAAGATAATTTTGCTCAAACATTTAATATTGACACCGAGCTAGCGATGAGCAGACTGCTCACTTATGGAAACTTCTCCATCATCTCTATTACTCCAGAATTTGTGGGGTTTGAGGGTAAGTGTGGAATGTTCAATGACAAAGGATGCAAGAAGACTTTTTTAGTGGAACTCATAACAAGGCCCCATTGCATGGCAAGCTTCAGAAACAGTAAATTATATTATCAAGCAATCAGCATATGTAAGATGGAAAAACAGTCCCCCTCCTCATTGAGCAATATGGTAATATTGTGATGTTAAGTGGGTAATACCAGCCAATGAAACCCTAGTAACCGTTGGTTAATTGCCCTGGTAGATATACAATAGTTTATAAGGTCACGACCACCACAATTTCCAATCCAATGGACTAGCCACCCATCACTCAATGTGACAGGGGCCAGAAACCAGTCCACCAGACCTCCTCTATTTCACAGAGATCCAGGCAGTACTAGTCTAATTCCCGACAAAGGGATAGCAACGTCACTTACCAAGAAAGTGTTTGGATATTGCACGTGGCCAGCCACAGTAATGTTTTGTTGTTTGTGGAGACTCTCCAATGGGGGCTTTTAGTCCCCTTGCTCCACCAAACCATTGTAAACACATGTGCCCGTCTGCCTCTGGCCTATCTTATTACGATTCATTTTAATGTAGTTATTTGGCATTTAAATGTATGGTGGACGGGTTATAAGCCCCCGCCCCGCACCAGTCCAGATTCAAAACCTATCATTGCGCACCATGAGAATAATCAGCCAAATAACATCTTTCATTCAGTGTTGCTGACTGGCGCCACAAACGTTGCTGACTGGCGCCACAAACGTTTTTTAAATAGGCATCAAAGACAAAGATCCCCCGTATAGCCTTATTGACTGTTAGGCCAAGTGCTGTCAGCAAGAACTTTTCAAGGCCTATTTGGGGGTCCTTGCGAGCTGCTCCTCTTCCTGCTGGAGGGTGAAAGAGGCGCGCCCAGGAGCTGCGGCCTGACACCACGTGAGAGCCCGACCTCACCTGAAAAAAGCACACGAGGGAGCTACCTCCTGCAGTGCTGGAGAGAAGACGGTCCGGGCTGTGGAGTCCGTTGAGCCCAGAGGAGCTGGATAAGTGGTGGACGGGAGTGTATAGATGGTAGTCATACACAGGGAGAATAATGTTTCAATATTTTTGAGGCAGACAGCAACACTGACACAGGAGCAGGTAAAAACATGCATTGTGCAATACAGGTGTGTACACACGAACTTACGCATCGGGGCCATGATCCATTAAATCATTTTCTGAATATCATCAAAGTTCAGGGCAGAGGGTATTTTACAATTGTGATATTTGAGGCTCTAGGTAAAGTGGTTAGGGTGTTTTCCAATTTTAATAGGTGTGCCTTAGGCATTTTCGTGGACGTTCATTTTAAAAGGTACAATGCTGATTCACGTGTATGATCATATTTTATATTTAAGTTTCCAGGTAGAGAGTCCATTATAAAAGTTATTTACAGGTTGTTGCAGAGTCTTTCAGGCAGAGAGGGCGTCACCGGTTTATGAAGACAATGGATTATTCTAACCGGATTGGTGGCACGGAATTGAGCCCCTCAGCGGACTCAACTTTGTGGGTCTTGAAGCCAAGAGGAGTGACAATGCACCAGCACGCGCTACTCCAACCCTACATTTTAGCAAGGAAAACTATCCTGGCAAATTGGAAAGATCATGAACCCCCTTCTTGGGGACTCTGGCAGATAGCTCTGCTTGTCTTGGTTGGAATGGAGCACCTTAGTCATGAACTTAAAGGGAAGGGTTTAGAATATGAGGCTACATGGTCCCCGTTTTTGCTGAACCCTGTTTGAATTGTCAGAGAAAGGGGGGCCGGGGAGAGGGGATTGACTCTTGACACTGCACAATTTTTGCAAACGTATGACATCCGTTGCTCCTTGGGGAAATAAAAACAATTACAAACTTGGATATCACGTGTATATTATTTAATATTTGGTTTTGTTTGGTTACATTACCCCCCCCCCTCCCCTTTTTCATCCCCCCCCCTGCAAATGTGCAACTCCCAATCGTCACCTATGTGATGGCAGCGCTGTGAGCCCGAGTTGTTCCAGCAGGTCCCCTTCTTGAGAGGGTTTCACCTCAAAAGGTTACGCGTTCATGACATGTTTGTTTTCTCGCGGATGTTTGTATGTTGGATTCTTGACAAAATATATAAAAACAGGGTGTCGTGGGGTTTCTCAGGCAGTATTTGATGCGGGCAGGGTGTTTTAATAGCTCTGATGATTCAGTTAGATGTTTTGCTACGGGAAGTGTATTGTTAACAGGTTCTTCTCGAGTTTTCAGGCAGGGTGGTATTGCGCCCACTGCCGGCCACCGGGGTGGTCGTGCCCTGCCCTGCGTGCGATTTCAAGGAGGGAGAGTTCGCCGCAGAGGTCGCAAACGGGTTTTGATTCCTTACCTGTACCCGTACCCGGCCGCACCAGGGTCGCAAACGGGTACCCGTACCCGGCCCTACCCGTACCGTACCCGTACCCGGCCGGGTACGGGTAGGGTACGGGTATCGGGTACCTGATTGCGACCTCTGGGATGAAGCCATGTTGCAGGCGTGGGTGGGTTGATTCTAGGAACTTGAATTGTGAGAAGAGACAAGACGTTGGGAAATGAGTGACAAACGGTTACTCACCAGTGACTCACTGGTCTACCCGTACCCGTACCCGGCCGCACCAGGGTCGCAAACGGGTACCTGTACCCGGCCGGGTACGGGTAGCCGGGTATCGGGTAGGGTACGGGTATCAGGTACCCGGTTGCGACCTCTGGTTCGCCGTCGATGAAACTCCCAGGCCTCCACATTTCTGCATTCTGAAATCCATGGGCGCTCAACCACTGAGTACGGAGGCTGCGCGTCTCCTGGGCAATTACCCTGCTGCAACTAGTGATAGGCGAATGTCTTTGGGGCCGTAAATAAATGACGTCACGCGATTTTGGACGATGTTGACCCCCGCCACCTTCGTCACACGGCGTCACAAAAAGTCAGAGCCCCCCTCAAATATGATAAATGTGGCACTGCACTCTTATGTAGGAGATAACATTTGTAAAAAAAAGTCTATTTAATTAAGTAGAACGTGTTGTCTACATTTATTTAAAGTTGCGCATTTTGATGTAACGTCACATTTCTCAACACCCCCCCCCCCCCCTCGTTACACATCGTCACAAATGTCGGACCCCCCCCCCCCCCTCGGTGCGTGACGTGATATTTGAGGGGGGGTCTGACTTTTTGTGACGCCGTGTGACGAAGGGGGGCGGGGGTCAAAAATCGTCCTAAATCGCGTGACGTCATTTATGGACAGCCCCCTTACCAGACTGTTGGTGCAAGTGCAAATAGCAAGCACCTAACACCACTCCCAGCCGAATTTGTCTTTCCCGGGCTGATGTTTGCAAATGATTTTGGACGATTTTTGACCCCCGCCCCCCTCGTCACACGGCGTCACAAAAAGTCAGACCCCCCCTCAAATATGACGTCACAAAGCTCTGCCCCCCCCCCCAAATATAACATGCTTCAAATCTCTTTAAACTATTGTCAGTGTAGTGCGTATTTAATGTGGCGCTGCACTCTGATGTTGTAGGAGAAAACATTTATTAAAAAGTATATTTAATGAAGTAGAACGTGTTGTCTATATTAATTTAAAGTTACACATTTTGATGTGACGTCACATTTCTCACCCCCCCCCCTCGTCACATCGTCACAAATGTCTGACCCCCCCCCTAGGTGCTTGACGCCATTTATGGACGGCCCCTTTACTGCATCAGATCTCAGGGGTCGGAAGCTGTAAGCTGCTCCTCCGGGACAAGGCCCGGAATAGTGTCCAGAGTCGAGACCCCATCGTGCGGTTAGGTGACTGCTCGCGGGAGACGCGAGCGGGGTTGGTTAATGCGATGATTTTGTGATTGTATAGTTCTCTTTTGTTTAATTAAAGTTGTATTGGTGAAAGTCAGTTCTTCGTTTCGGTCGAGCTGTGTTGAAGATTGGCTGCGTGCTGCGAGCTCTGGTGGGCTGGACTATTTTACGAGAGGTTTCGAGAGGGGGTCCTATTGGACCCCAATTCCTCAACCACATCAATTACACACAGCCATCAAATTCTTCATGGAGGTAGAAAAAGATTGCATGCTACCTTTCTTGGATGTCCTAATCAAAAACAGACCAGATGGCTCTGAGTCATTCTGTCTACAGGAAAGTAACCCATACTGACGCCTACCTAAAACCTGATTTCCACCACCATCCATCCCAGAAGAATTCCTTAATCAAAGCACTACACCATATAGCTCAATGTATCTCCGACCATGAACACCTAACCAGTGAACTCAAACACGTACACCAAGCTCTCAAGGCAAATGGATATTCTGTCTACACAATCCGAAAAGCCATCACCCCAACCGTGAGGAAGGAGCCATCTGAGGGTGCAATCAAAACCATCACCTTGCCATACATAGCAGGGGTAACCAAAAAGATTTCCAAAATCATGAACAAACACAAGATCCAGGTCCGATTTAACAAAGTACATAAAATTCGTGATCTGATCCCATCTGTGAAGGACAAGATTCCTGACATGCAATATCCTGGCGTCTACAAACTAAGCTGTATCTGTGGCAGCAGTTACATTGGGTAAACTAAGCGACATGTATCGGACGGTGTTCATGAGCATAAGGCAGATTTGAAACACGGTATGACCAATACTTCTGCCGTGGCTGATCATTATTTTAATGCGGCTGGCTCACACGAAATTGATTGCTCTCAGACGATGGTACTTTGCAAGCCTACTGGCTATCAACAAACATTCGTTCGTGAAGCCATTCATATACACAGACACAGCCACAATTTCAATTGAGAGGATGGTTATAAACTCAGCAATCATCGGAAAGATGTCATCAACCACTTTGGGTAATGACGTAATTTGTGTTTTCTTGTCAACCTCCACTGTCAGCAGTGTGGGTGTGTGGAGCGAGGTGCAATGACTGACTGGCGGCCCTTTGATTAGTGTAGACCCACTGCGTTGTTGTTGCTTCCTCCTATATTAACATTAGCTGCCCCGCCCATGCTACTGACACACTTGGGCTACTCTCATCTCTAAACCTTTATAAACAGTTTGTCCTTAGAGGCTAACCCCCCATTTCCTGATGACGACCACTTGTGTTGCGATCGAAACATAGTCTTTTTATTTTATTTTATTCAGGTTAAGAACCAGGCTACAGTCTACATTATAGACTGTCAGTACGCTCACTCTGTGTAATAACCATTGCTACAGTCTACATTATAGACTGCCAGTACACTCACACCGATTTAGAACCAGGCTACAGTCAACATTAGTGTTTTGTTTTGTATTATTTTTATTTTATTTTTATTCACTTTCTATTTATTCTTTTTCTATCTAAGGGACTTCACTGAAAGAACAAAAGAATATGAATTCCTGCAGTCACGAAAGTTTTAATTCAAATCAATTGAATGTCCTTGTTGGCACGCGTGTTCTGCTACTGCTGACAGTTGTATTTGGAGGTATTCAATATTTATCTGATGTTATTTTAATCTCGTGCTGATCATTCGTCCTGTTTGCCCAACATAGCATTTTCCACACGTGCAGTTAATCCTGTACACACCTTCTGTTGATAGCTTCGGTAACACATCTTTTGTACGAGATAGTATTTTTTCATTTTATGTACCGTGCCATCCAGTTCACCATGGAAGTGGAAGCTGACAAAACTCTACCATTTCTGGATATTCTGCTCAGATGGGGTCGAAATTGTTCAATAGTGTTTACCGAAAGAAAACGCATACCGACACCTATCTGAATGCAGTCACACCATCACCCCGCACAGAAATCTGCTCTTATCAAGACGCTCATTCGTAGAGCTAAGAAGTGTCAGATGGTGACAGTTTGAGAAGTGAAATTAAACATGTTAAAGAAGCACTGCAAATGAACGGTTATAATGATGCACAAATCAACAGGGCTTTGAATATTGACTTAAAGCTTTCGTGACTGTAGGAATTCATATTCTTGGGTCTTTCGGTAAAGTCACGTAGATAGGTTCAAAGAAAAGAACAAAAATAATATTTAAAAAACTACGACGTTTCGATCGCAACACAAGCAATCGCCATCAGGAGAAAACAGTGGGAAAGCTGCTGAGGTAGGCTGTTTTAAAGGTTTGAAATGGGTGTAGCCCAAGGGTCATAAACTAAGTGGGCGGGGATAGTAATTACTCTTTGGTTCTTTCGGTAAAGTCACGTATAAAGATAAAATAATAAATTAAATACTAGCATAAATTAAATACTAGCATAAATTAAATACTAGCATACTAGTATTTAATTTATTATTTTATCTTTATACGTGACCAAAGAGTAATTCCTGCAGTAACGAAAGCTCCAAATTAAGTTTGGGAATAGTAATGTTAAAGTGAGAAATTTGCATGTAAATGTAAGATCGGAGAGCTAACTCCACGATGAAGAAGGTGCGAAGGTGGCCATTGTATTGTGAGAGATTAGCATGTCAATGTAAGAGATTAGCATGTCAATGTAAGAGATTAGCATGTCAATGTAAGAGATTAGCATGTCAATGTAAGAGATTAGCATGTCAATGTAAGAGATTAGCATGTCAATGTAAGAGATTAGCATGTCAATGTAAGATATTAGCATGCCAATGTAAGAGATTGGCATGTCAATGTAAGAGATTCGCATGTCAATGTAAGAGATTAGCATGTCAATGTAAGAGATTAGCATGTCAATGTAAGAGATTAGCATGTCAATGTAAGAGATTAGCATGTCAATGTAAGAGAATAGCATGTCAATGTAAGAGATTAGCATGTCAATGTCAGATCAAAGAGCCACCGCCACCTCGAGGACACGTGCGACGGTGCCTATGTTAGTGTGTAACAATTTAACCTGTTAATGTAAAACTAGAGAGTCGAAAATAACTACTAACATTGGAAGGTAGGATGGAAACATCACAGCCCTTCCAATGATTGCGCAGTTTGTACCCATCTTCTCGGTTGAAATTGTATCTGTGTCTATACATATGGATGGGTTCATGAATGAATATTTGTTGATAGCCAGGCTTGCAAGCCACAGACACAATTTCAACTCCACAAATCTGGCTGTCACCTGATGAAGCTAGTTGTAATTACTGGCGAAACGTCGTACTCAGATTGTAAATGTTGTGGCTTGGCTCTCCAATACACCGGTGTGCTGTACTAGTGACAAATTGACATGTTTTGCTTACGTGACAACCCTTACTAGTTAGCAGTATTGGGTGGTGGCAGGATCTAACGACACATTTATATATTTATGTGATCTAACCCAAAAAAACTCTATTATGGATGATGTTGGTCGCAAAAGCCTACGTGTTAAAGTAAGATAATCATTCTTGATTTGAAGCTTTCGTGACTGCAGGAATCCATACTCTTTGGTTCTTTCGGTAAAGTCATCTAGCTATAAAATAAAATAAGATAATCATCACTGGCGTTGGCCGTGAATGGGAATCAAGCTCGGGTTACCGGATTAGTAGCGCACTAAGGATTACACTACCACTCAATTAAACACACGCATGTGCAGAAATAGTATTTTCCATTACACACTGCAACATTTGAACCTGCACACCTACACCCGCCCAAACACACCCTACCCCACCCAAACCCCCACCACACCCCACACACCACACCCCACACACCACACCCGCGCGATGTGGACACACCCCAGGTTCTGCTATAAATGCCGGGTTGATGCCCACAGAAAGGCACAGCACGAGGTCAACTCTTCATAACTCCTTCCGACTCGTCAGCATTACTTCCGTCGCTTCAACATGAGCTGCCCATCGAAGAAGGTGAGAGATCGACAACCCTGTGCACCGCACACAGGACAGACACCGCCACACATGGTGCCACCCTGCCCCTTGGGTGCCACTGCTGAGGTTATGTACTGCCACGGGGCATGTAAATGCATGTTCAATGCTACATTTCAGAGTGGCATAAACACTGCTACAAATAGCGCACATAATATGGGCGTCAAGGTGGTCAAGGGGGATGACAAGAGTGGATTCTCAAATATATTTGGAGATCCTTGCAAATGAGACATTCCGTGTCAAGGGACGTTCCAGATAAACTATAAACATATGTTATATTTAATCCCCAACCTCCCCCCTTTGTAAATCCAGTTGTTGAAGAAGCCTCCTCGAGGAATTTCTTGGCAGTTGTGACCGACTGATGCAAATTCTAATGATGTCTTAAAAGGGGCTAGAAATAAAAAAAATGTGGTACAACATTTATTTGATTCGGTCGCCCAAATATGGATGGCCACTCAGGGCGACAGAGACTCATGCCATCCCATTACGATGTCACGCTCCCCGTTAAATGTAGCGCAATGGACCGAACCGAACTGCACTGTTAAAATGCCATGTTCCCGTGTCTGTCTCACTCCCTTCTGCCAGTGTGAAGACCTGGAGGCCAAGTTCAAGGCTCTGGACAAGGTAAGCGATGAAACTTCGACTTCAAAAATCGTACCGTATTGTCACCATCATCCTTCTCACTGTGGTCAGTAAAATACGCACCAACTTACGTGCCATACCAGATAATGCAGAAACATCTAGCGGTTGCGTCTGTCTTACGGCCGGATTGAGGTATCTGCACAGATGACTTTCAGTCATGGGGTTCTTTGACCACACTTCGCCATGCTGATTAGCGCTTGCTGGGTTCATAAAAAAAAACAGTGCACCAACCACTTTTCCACCGTTCCTCGTCACGCCGCTCCTCTTTCCAGACACGACATATACTCTCCCTGTGTTCTGCCTGGGTTTTCTCCCGGGCCTTCGATTTACACCAAAAGCAACAAAAAATACAATGCAACTGGTAATGTTCAAACATCACAGTGCTGGAAAACAAAATCTACAAATTACTCATGTGAACACTTGTCAGGTGCCTCCTGAAAAATAGTCTTGAGACTTGGTAAGAGTTTGCTGGGTAAACAAAAATGATGATAATTTAATTGGCGTGCCGAATATTTATTTTAAAGACATTGCAAAGCACTCATTTAAGGGATATGACCACGCTGGTCAATACGGGTCATACCAAAACTATGGGCCATATAGTAAAACATTATAGTCTGCCCTCCTTCGCTGGAGGAGGAATTGCAAAACTAAACGAACTCTCTCCTAAAGCCCTCGCGTGACTAGCAGACCTCAATGTTGGCACTTGGCTCCTGAACGTATTGCTGCCATAGGCTAGAATGGAAGAGCTACGGGTCATTAAAACCACGAGTGTGCCCCCTGTCACCAGGATGGCAACAAGAGCCTGAGCAAGGCGGAGCTGAAGGCCGGCCTCTCGATCCTTGGACTCAGCGAGGCTCAACTGGACAGCTTCTACGTGGCAGCAGACAAGGACAAGGATGGCAAGATCAGTATGAGCGGTGAGAGAGACATCAGCGCTGGCAACTCACCCCCTCGTGTCGCGTGCAGGCCCTCAACGGCGCTGTTCACTAACAGCACTTGCCCCAACGGCCTCTTAAGGCGATACGGGAGATCGTTGTCGTTGGGGTGTGTGTGTTGTATTTTTGTGTGTGCGTGCTCCCGTGTGTGTGTGTGCGCACGCGTGCTCGCGTGCTTTGCATGCCCCGTGCGTGTGTCTGTAACAACTGTGGTGATTCATTGCTCCCCGACTGACAAGCAGCCAGCATCAAGACTCAAGGTAAGTGAAAACAAAGTTTTTTTATTCTACTTATGTTACTTTATTTTATGTTTGATTTACTATACAGCATTTTTAACAGTGTTACATGCAAATGTGCAATACTTCTAAAATTCCATCTAACTTACCGTATGGGAATTTAAATACAGTGCATTATTGTGTTCCAACGTATGAACCGTTTGACTTACGAACGGGTCTCAGGAACGAATTAGGTCCGTAACCCGAGGACTACCCGTACCTCGCGTCGCCTAATTTACACACGATTGTTGTGTTTTCGCGTGCAGAGTTCGTCAGATACTTCCAGCAAAAGAAGTAAAGAGTGGAAGCTGAAAACCGACCACATGGCCCCGTGCAACACTGCAACACCACTCGGACACACACCACCAGTCGCGCACACACACCCACAATGCACACGATGCACACTCACACACACACCCACGATGCACACTCACACACCGCCAACACGTGCAGACCACCAACACGTGTTGGAGGCACACACCGGCTCAGCACACACTTCTTTCACACGAATGCAAAACGTCCCAAAAAATGAAAGTGCTTAGCACGTAAAATATCTCTTTTATACGTGAAATGTAATGCAATTGACACCCTAGATGCATATTACGATCCTCTACGACAGATATTTCAGACATATGTGCAGTCCATCAATACATACTCTACATGCATTTACTAATAACAGAATATACACGCACGATACAAAATTATCTCAAATGCTGTCTGGTTTTCTCTCTTTCCTGTGGGGTTTTTGGTGAGGTGATACGAATGAATTGAACTGGAAATAAAATGACAATCTACCAGTGCGCTGTTGGTGTGCGTGTGCATTGATTCTGTGGCGATAACACGCAACTTCATCATCTCCAGCCGCCATTCGCACCACAAACGTCAGTGACCAATCACGGCGCTTGTGCCAAGTTAGGTGCACTGTGCACACAGAGGCACTTGAGCTCTTTCCTAGGCATAAGGTGATGGGTCAGAGCTGGTTAGCAGATGCGTACTGATGAGACCGACCGGTGTTCAGATCTTTCAACGATCTGTGAGTTTGAGGTTATTTGTTGCACGGATAATAACATTTGGCCAGTTGCCCGACTATTTTACACGGGAGATCCATAGTGCTTGAGCACAGCAACAAAACAAACATCAGCAATGCAAATAATGACGACATCCTTTGAGGGTTGCTCATTTTTAATGTGCGAGAACGAGGAGTTCGGATACACTCCGAACCAACGGGTAATTCCTGCAGTCACGAAAGCTCCAAATTCAAGATTGAGTTCGGATACATTTTCTCTTCCATGCAATTCCCGCAATTCCCGCAATATGTTTTTTTTACAGGGCACCAATGCGGATTTTAAAACGTGCTTTAACGGTGACGGAAAGATGGACAATAACTTGATCTGGAAAAAAATTAATACTGTATAACAAAATTTGTAATTGGTCAACGATGCCTTGATTCGCTACGCACTACTGAGGCACTAAGCACGAGGGCGCAAACCAAATGTGGCGAATAATAATTTATTGACAACAAAGTACAACCAATTCTTCAAAGCTCTCGGCAACAGTAACAGCACACATTTACATCACCCCGTAGTTCACCGGCTTAACACAGCATACCTGTCAACCCATAGGGTTTATTTTAGTATAGGGAAATTGAGTTTTCAGGTCCATACGCATACAGCCGTTTTAATATGAGAAACGCATTTTTTTCTATTTGTGTTTCTCCCTTGTGAAGGGACTTTGTAGGATGAACGTTGAGATTTATAAGGGCACGGGGTGACCAATAAGGCCTTGATTGGTCTGCAATCAGGTAGGGCACTGATAAGGGGTTGACAGGTATGACACAGCGACCCCGGGTGTCGACAATCACAGAATACCGTGGTGACAAACAGATACAGAAAACTCCGATGACCGTTCGCACCAAGGCCGTAATTATAATATATATTGGGGGGGCACATCCCCCCCCCCCAATATTCGAATATGCTCAAAATGCCCCCCCCCCCCCATATATTGCTATAAAATATATTTCTGTTTATATGATTGTGGTTATGGTTGTACTTTATTAATCCCTAATCTCTGCCATCCCATCCAATGAAACAAGAAAAGGTAAAAAAGAAAAAAAACAGAGCAATGTAGTACACTATTCGACATTATTGTAAAAAACACTAAGAAAAAGTCCATCCATGTGTTAGTGATTGTTTTTATTTTAGGCAGGAAATGGCAGGAAATTCGTTTTCAAATTTCGATATTTTTTCTGGTGGCGGGGGGGGGGGGGACCCCACACCCCCTGGAAGATTTAGTCCCCCCCAATGTTGACTCCATGGTTCCGGCCTTGGTTCGCACGAATCCTGACGCACGCGCCACCCCTGGATGACGGGGCAACGCAGCCAACGACCAGGGGACGCAAATCCGCTCTCGAGGTCGCGCACAGCCTCAGGGATCCCCCAAGGACCCAATGCCGCACTCCCAGGACTTAACGCAGAATCAACCCCAGTCTTGATTTGCGCTCACAACAGCGCTCTGAGTGACTCCACGCCGGGGCCGTCTCGCGACTTGGTTGGTGCTTTCAACAGAGCTCTGAACAACTCAACGCAGCTGCCGTATCGGTCACTGACCCGCCCGCACGGCCGCATCACCCACGGCTACTCCGCGCACCAGCAGCCCCGGGCTCGCCCGTACGGTGGCAGCAGCTCCCGCAACGATCAATGGCAACAGCGATCCCGGCTACCAAGCAGCCCACACGACAGCAGTGCCTGGCAGCAGGCAGTGCTATTCCAATTCCCGACAAAGGAATGGCAACCTCGCTTCCCCAGCAAGTGTTTGGATATTGCACGTGGTCAGCTGTAGTAATGTTTTGTTATTTGTGGAGACTCTCCAATCTCTAACACGCCCCCCTCAGTTAGACCACGCCCCCCCCCCTTCCGTGAGGCCACGCCCCACTCAGTGTGTGACTGGCTCTGACACTTTTCTAGATTTGAAGCTTTCGTGACTGCAAGGATTCGTACTCTTAGTTCTTTCGGTAAAGTCACGTAGGTAAAAAATGAAATTAAAATTAATAAAAATAAAATAATAAAATCACGACGTTTCGGAGGCAACACTAGTGATCTGCATCAAGCAGCAAATCTGGCTGTGACGGTCCCACCTGATGACGGAGACTTGTGTTGCCTCCGAAACGTCGTGATTTTTTATTTTTATTTAATTATTTGCCTACGTGACTTTACCGAAAGAACTAAGAGTATGGCTCTGACACTGGCCAGTGCCTCCCCAGCCATTGACCTCACCGCACGTCACTGCGACGCTGTTACCAACGACATGAGTATTTCAGATCACAGTCTCGTGACGTGCAAAGTGGCATTACTGATAATGATTCGCCCACCTATCACAAAGATATCATACAGAGACTGTAAACGACTGGACCACGATGCTTTCCATCAGAAGATCCGGTCATCATCGGCGTGTCTAAATCGTGCATCGACGGTCGATTAATTTGCAGCTCAATTAGGAAATTGCATCACTGCTGTTCTTGATGAACTTGTGGCCGTGCGAACAAGCACAAAGACAATGGGGGAAATGTGTGGTCACTGGCTGTCACCAGAGGCGATTACAGAAAACCAGACCTATTTGACTTGCTTTCAGAGCCGCCTACAGATCTGCCAACCGACTCATTATGGGGTCTCACAAATTGTTTGATCATCTGCGCGTCAATGAGTCGGTTCCCGACCCTCGTGCGTATGCAGCACGTCGTGAGGGGTCTGCTGTACTCCAACCACCACCCATCAACTCGTCATCCGGGTCTGTGCACAGTACTTGTGATGTTCTTCACCAATAAAATAGTGATGGTCAAGATGGCAGTTTCTAACTTGAAGGCAACGCATCCCCATCTGCCATCTGAGTTATGATCAACCTGGAACCAATGCAAAACTCGAGACCCTGGCATCAACATCGGTGGTAGATGTGTCTCTGCTCGACTACAGGCACATGTTGATTCTGAAATCATGCTCGGTCTTGCTTACGCCACTGATTGTCGTTCTGGCAAAAATGTCGTTGCTGTTTCCCAGACCGGTTCAAAATGGCGCAGGTAACACTGCTCCTGAAAAAGGTTCGCTTGAGCTATAGTGACCTGCAAACTATCACCATATCTCAAACATGAATCCAATTTTAAAGGTCATAGAGCACCTTTGTCTGAAGCTGTTACTTCTCCACGTCGCTGCGATGGGCAGATTCAACCCGTTGTAGTTGGCATACTGGAAGTTCCACAGCACTAAGACGGCTCTATTAAAGATCACTGATAACCTCTACAAGATCATTGATGGCATGTGCACCACATCATTGGTTAGCCTCCATCTCTCAGCCGCCTTCAACACCATGGACCATGAGATACTTATTGGGCAGCAAATGTCAGGGTTCAGTGTATAGGGCATGGCACTGGGGTGGATTGAGTTATACCTACATGTTCAATCACAGTTTGTCAAGCTGGGTTATGAACAATCATCACCTATAGCCGTGCTTAGTTGACGTACCGCAAGGGTTTGTCCTCGGGCCCTTCCTATTTTCAACATATGTCTCTCTGATCACTGATGTCATCTCGTCGCATGACATCAAGTTCTAGCAATATAGTGATGACACACAATCGTACACCGCAGTGCAATTAAAGTTAAATATGGAGAGCCTCGATAGCCTCAAAGATTACACACGAGTGGTGTTTGTGTGTGTTTTAACGAAACGAAATGTTGCTGTTTAATACAGGAATATCGGAGGTTCTGCTGGTTGGTACTCGGGCTCAGGCAAAAACATGTGTGGGATGATCAGGTGCGGCGATCGCAGACTCCAGGATTAAGTATTCTACTCATCTAACAAGTCTCGGCACCATACTCGATCAGACTGTCGTTTGATCACCACGTGCAAAATATAGCGAGGTCCTGCAATTATCATCTCAGGCTCTAGGACACATTTGGGTACTATTGTGTCATCACATACCCAACAAGGTGGTATGGAGCATCGTATCAACAAGGCTCGATTACTTCAACTTACTACTCTACGGGACGTCTAGAAAATTAATTAGCAAGCTGCAGCGTGTATACAATTCTTTGGCACGTGTCGTGACGGGTACTGCAAGATCCGACCATGTCTGTCCAGTGCTCACCGAGCTGCATTGACTTCTGGTTGCTGAACGAATACATTATAAGGTCGCAATCATTACACACGAAGTGCTTGCCGCAAATCAACCACAATACTTTGCTGATCTCGTCAAGGAACATAAACCATCACGCAAACTCCAGTCACCCTCGCAGCAGCTTTTGGCTATCCGTCCACTTTTTTCGGTCATGCATCGTGCGCTTTCAGATGCGCTTCTAAGACCATCTGGAATGGTCTTCCTTCCGATATTAGGAAGACACTTGAGCTATGCACTTTGAAATCTAGATTGAAAACTCGTTTCTTCAGAACTGCTTCTTGTATTTAGTTTGTTTTCCATCCCCCAAACCTCCGATGAGCATGGTTGACTACGTACGATGTGAAAGAAGGTCAACATACTTCGGGCGATAGTTTGCAGGGTCACTATGGCTCAAGCCAACACTCATTCTGGTTTGGGAAACAGCCCTCGCTGAATGAAAGATTTTCCAGATGGACAATCAGCGGCGCAAGCACGTCTGAGCATGATTCGATCATCGATGTGTGGATATTGTAGAGCGGCAATGTATTATTTCGCACATCTTCCATTGACGTTGGTGCCAGAGTCTCGAGTTTTGCATTGGTTCTAGATTGATCATACTCAGATGGCAAAAAACATCATACGTACTGTGCACAGGCC